CCGTGTTCCGGAGAACGCGCCCCGGGACGCGCTGGGCTCTGGCTTCTCCCGCGGCCGCCCTGCGGGCCGGCGTGCAGGGCACACGCCATTGCCTGATGGAGCGTGCTCCGGAGAAGGCATCCTGGGACGCGTTGGCTTCTCCTCTGCCGTGGTCGCCTTCTCACGTTTTCAAATCTCTCCCCCTGTCGCTTCCGATGGGCGCCAGAGGGGGGAAGAGAGAGGGAGACGGAGGAAACCACAGAAGAGGAGGAAGAGGATAAGGTAGGGGGAGGAGAAAAAGAAGAAGGAAGAGGAGGACATCAAGGAGAGGATGGACGTCGTCGTCATCGTCAACGGTTACGTTCGACGATGTCGTCGTACGAGATCGCGTTTGCAATCTGGGAAGTCTGCGAAGGAACCTACGCGCGCGCGAAGCGCTCGCGTGGTTCAAGTATGTGGTGTGTACAGTAACATCGGTGCGTGTATTCATATAAATCCATGTACATTTCGATACATATCTAGTCATATCGGTATACGGGTAGTGACATCGGTAGATCGACTGGTGGGTGTTGTCCCGATGGTTATCCTTATGGTTGCCCCGATTGTTACCCCGTTGGTTGTCCCGATAGCTGTCCCGATGGTTATCCCGACAGTTGTCCCGATATTTGCCCCGATGATTTTTCCGCTGGTTGTCCCGATGGTTGCCCCGATGATTGTCCCGATGGTCGTTCCGATGGTTGTCCCAATGGATGTCCCGATGGGTAAATTGATTTATATCCGGTAGATAGGTAGCGAGATTGATCTAGGTAGAGAGTCCGCTGTGTAGATAGTGAGGCCAATTGATTAACAGGTAGCGATATCGCTAGATATACATATGGTGAGGTCGGTAAATAGACAGGTGTGTATATCTATACAGAGCTTGCGAGATCGATCGGTTGATAGAACGACAAATGTTGTCCCGAAGTATGTCCCGATGGTAGCTATGGTAGCTGGATTGATTGATCGTAAGATCCGTAGGTAATTAGTGAGGCTCCGAGATAGGTCGACAACTAGAGTGGTAGTGATTTTGTTCGGTTTAGCGTGGTATCGGTAGATCGACAGTGAGATCGATATATGGGTATTGAATCCGTATTTGGAGTGAAGGCGGTCCTTGTATTTAGACAGATCTTCAGGTCTACCATCCTATTGGTAGTAATTCGTGAGAGAAGTAAGCGGTGGCGTCATGGATCCACCAACCGAGTCTATTCGATCGATGGATTGAGACGGTTGTGTTGATGGTTGTCCCGTTGTTGGCTCACCCCCCACTTCTTTCTCGGCCTTTGGTCAGTATTTTAGGCTCGATCTGATTATGAAGAGTCACGCTCTTGGTGCCTCCACCAGCACTTTCGCAGAAATGACGTTTACTGCGTTCTGTTTGGGCTAGGAAGTGAAACTCAATATCCAAGAGTGCATCAGACACACCTCTTTCGAGAGAGGAGGGGGACGACGGGGAGTTCGAGGCGGATCCAGCTGCGGTGGCGTTAGCGTCCCCAGAGGAAGTTTAAGAAGCAAACGCTTTAGCATCTTAGACCTTCAATCCACGACCGCGTCCACGACGACGCCAACTGTTCCGACCACGACCACGACCTCGACGGCGGCGGCGATGATGACGACGACGACGCAGGGACGGCGGGAGAGAGCGAGGAGCGAGGGAACGAGGATCACGTCGGAGGGAGAAGCACGACGACGACGACGGCGGCGACCGCAGCCTTGGCGGCGGGCGGCGGCGACGACGACCACGACGACCACGACGACCATGACGACGACGACGATGACGACGACGACGACGACGACGACGACGACGACGACGACGACGACGACGACGACGACGACGTTGGCGGCGGCGGCGGCGACGACGACGACGACGACCACGGCGGCGGGCGGCCGAGGCCTCGCTGCCCGCCTCGCGCCTGCGCCTGGAGGCCCTGGTGCTCGAGGAGCGGCGGGCGGCCCAGGAGCTCGCGCCGCCCGCGCCTCCGCCGCCTCGCGGGCGCCGCCGCCGCCGTCGGCACCCGCCGGGGCACAGCGGCAGCGCGCAGCAGGAAGCCGAGTGCTGTTCGCCAGGGTTCCTCCTCCTCCTCCTTTTCTCCTCCTCCTCCTTCTCCTCCTCCCCCTCCTCCTCCTCCCCCTCCTCCTACCCCTCCCCCTCCTCCACAATAACTCAATATGAATACGGGTGATGGCCGCGCACCCTCCGCGTACTGTTTTTTTTACACACAGGATGCCCGGGAAATCCCGGGAAACGACTCTCGCTGAGGCGCCGGCGTCATTTTTTCCCAAAATGCTGCTCTCGTTGAGGCGCCGGCCTCATTTCTGCTCCCGAATCGTTCCGAATCGTGCTCCCGCTGCAGCGTGGGCCTCATTTTCGGATCGGTGTTTGGCCTCCGTCGTTCAGGATGGCGTTCTCGCCCCAGCGCGGGCCTTTTTCTCGCGCGCCCATCCGCCCGCCACCACCGCGCCGCACCGCCACCACCACCACCACCACCACCACCACCACCACCACCACCACCACCACCACCACCACCACCACCACCACCACCACCACCACCACCACACCACCACCACACCACACACCGCAGCACACCACACACCACACAGCCCCCACCACCACCACCACCACCACCACCACCACCACCACCACCACCACCACCACCACCACCACCACCACCACCAGCACCACACCAGTACCACCACCACCAGCACCACCACCACCACCATCACCACCACCACCACCACACCACCACCACCACCACCACCACCACCACCACCACCACCACCACCACCACCACCACCACCACCACCACGACAACCACGCACACACGCACGCACGCACGCACGTGCACCACCACCCACTACGCACGCGCGCGCGGAGCCACAGGTCCGCTACGACACGCGTCCGCGGATAGAGAAAATCAGCGCCATGGTAAGGGATGGGAGGGAGGGGTAGGACGTCAGATATGACGCGAGCGCACCTAGCTTGTCCTCCTCCCCCTCCTCCTCCTCCTCCTCCTCCTCCTCGTCCTCCTCGTCCTCCTCGTCCTCCAACCCCTTCCCTGGGCTTCTCCGAGCCGTGCGCTGCGCGGCGACTTCCCTCGGCCGCTGAGGAGCTGCTGCGTTCGGGGTGCTCCCGGCTTCCCCTCGGCTGTGCCTCGCGTGCGGGTTTTCAGGGTTGGGTTTCTCGCGATGGTCTCTTGCGATCGCGCCCGCACTGTACAGGGTACCGGATCGAGTCGGTTCGGGGAGGGTGCCCTGCTGTTCTGCGTGTCTGCTGGGTGCTCTTGCGCATCCTGGCGGAGGTTGCCCTCGAGAGTGCTCTTCCGTCTGGCGGGCGGAGGGTCTCCCGTTCTTGAAGGAGGTTCTTCTGTTCCAGGTCCAGCCGAGCTGCTGGTACTTGGAAGCGGTTTTGGACTCTCCCGCCTCGAGGTGGGCTGCGTCTTCTTCGAAAGCGAGGCTCTCTTTCTCTCTCTCTCTCTCGAGCGCCAGCTTGGTTCCACGTCCCAGTTGTTGAAGCGCCACCTACGACGACAACGGCCCCCGCTTCACACTCCCTCACAAAGTATTCCGAGACGCCCTGGCCAGGGAGGCCCCCCCATTCCACTCTCGCTGGAGACATCTTCGCAATTTAGTTCAGCTGGTGAAGGGTTAGCTTCGATGACCACCGCTCCCGCTCCATATGTCCCCACGGTTTGCTCCGAGACATCCTGGCCAGAGAGGCCCCCGAACTCAGGAACGAGCTGGTGCAGGCCCAACTGCAGCAATACTTCCCCGCAGTTTGCTCCGAGACGCCTTGGACTCCAACGGAGTTCCCCGAAACGGCGTTCTCGCCCGAGACATCTCCGCGATTCGTTCAAGCTGGTGACGGCCCAGCTGCGACGACAACGGCTCTCGTTCGATGCTTGCTGGCGTTTTTTCTGTTGGCTCTGGAGGACGCCCTGGCCAGAGAGCCCCCAAACTCAAACTCATGGGCGGCGCTCTCGCTGGAGACTTCCTCGCAATTCAGCCAAGTTAGTGAATTTCAGGAGGGGGTAAGAGCACAGACACCATTAATCGTCAACTCCCAGGAAGACATTGGCAAATATGAGAATGTGGGTGAAGACGAAAACCCAGAACGTATGGGAAAATATGGCAAATCCTGGGATACGTGTCTATCGTTGTGCTGCAACAGCAGATTCCAGATCAGAGGTTTCGTTTTGTTAGCATCAATGCTGCCCTCCTCTCCGAGTGCTTGGAGTGCGCGCTTCAGACGACGTTGGCTTGGCGGTCGATGGAGTGTTCGATAAGGGGGAAAACTGTCTCCTCCCCCCTCCCCGAAGGCCGTTGTGGTTCTGCCGCCGTCGCCGCCACCGCCGCCACCGCTCTCCCGTTTCTCCGCCCCTCCTCCCCCGCTTGACCTGATTCACGCGCAGGAGGGATTCCCGTGCACCGTGTCCTTGGCGTTCGGGCCGACAGTGACGAAACGAGCGAACCTTCAAGCGATCTCGCCACAGGGGTGTAACTGCCTCCCTCCCCTCCTCCTCGCAGTGGCCCAAAGCTTGCTCACTCGTCGGGCGTGCGCTTCCCAGCATGCACGCAGGTAGGAAGAGGAGGAGGAGGAGGAGGAGGAGGAGGAGGAGGAGGAGGAGGAGGAGGAGGAGGAGGAGGAGCTGGAGGAGGAGGAGCTGGAGGAGGAGGAGCTGGAGGAGGAGGAGGAGGAGGAGGAGAAGGAGGAGCTGCAGAAGGAGGAGGCGGAGGAGGAGGAGGAGGAGGAGGAGGAGGAGGAGGGGAGGAGGAGGAGGAGCAGCAGCCAGGAGGGGGGAGGAGGAGGAGGAGAGGAGGAGGAGGAGGAGGAGGAGGAGGAGGAGGAGGAGGAGGAGGAGGAGGAGGAGCAGCGAGGAGCAGCGAGGAGCAGCGAGGAGCAGCGAGGAGCAGCGAGGAGCAGCGAGAATCGAGGAGCGAGGAGCGAGGATGGGGGAGCGAGGAGCGATGCTGCTCTACACTCCCCGAAGGCCGCTTTGGCTCCGGGGGGGGGGACTCGAGGCGACCTCGGGCGCGGGAGGCGCAGGCGGAGCCCTGCCATGGCGGCCGAGCCCAACGGGAGCTGCGGGGACGAGGACGCCGCGGTGCGGCAGGCGCTCGCAGCCCGGGGGGGGGGGGCGGGGGCCGGGTCATGGGCTCACAACACAGGTTAGCTCCTGGGCGCCGCTGTGCGACCGCCGCAGGCTGCCTGGCTGGGCATCGCGAGGGCTCTGACCCCGGCCGCCTCCGTGCCGCCACGGGTTGTCCCAGTCACTCCTGGTGAGTGGCGCTGGCGTGCCCACAAGCCTGTTTCTCACCTTGGCCTTGGGCGCGGCGATATCTTTTGTTCTGGATCGAGTCTCAAGCGAACAGGGAAAGAGGCTACGCGTTCCGACCCCCAATGGGGCTCTTCGGGCCGAAGTGCCCACTGTGCAGCATCGCACGAGCATCGTCGACGATGGGACCGTAGGCGGAGCGGAGAGATGAAGTTTTTTGACCCCCTTCTGTACACTGCGGTGGGGGGGGTGCAGAACGGTGCACCTCTTGTGCCCTAACGGGTCCCTGAAGGGGCACGGAAGGTGCACGTTTCTGCCCCTCACTCCCACTTATCGCCCCCCCCAGTAAGCAGCTCCCGAGCTCCAAGAGACCTTCTCTCTGTGCTCGTGTCATCGTTGCCGTCGTCCTCGGAATCTCGCCACCGAGAGGGATGGCGTTGCCGCGGAGTCGTGGCGGCAGCCGGCTCCTCCTCCTCCTCCTCGTCCTCCTCCTCCTTGCTGGCCTGCCACGGCGCTCCCAGGAGTGCCCAGGACGCCCTGGGAGGAGCGCCCAGGAGCCCGGACCCAGCGCTCTGGTCGATGCCCTCCTTGTCACTCCGGGCGTTGGTCTTGGGGCCTGAGGCCCTCATGGATCGGTCCGGAGCTCAGGAGGGGAGGGCCCAGTTGGCCCCACAGGAGGCCCTAGAAGGAGAACCTGGGAGCTTGGAGTACTCGGGGCGGCCCAGGGAGGGGCGGGAGGGGGGGAGAGGAGAGGAGGGGAGAGGAGGGGAGAGGAGAGGAGAGGAGAGGAGAGGAGAGGAGAGGGGAGGAGGAGGAGGAGGAGGAGGAGGAGGAGGAGGAGGATGAGGAGGAGGAGCAGCAGCAGAAGCAGAACGGGTACGAGCAGGATCAGAATCAGGGCCGGGGCCAGCGGCAACACTGGCAGCAGCAGCACCAGAAGGAGGAGGAGGAGGCCGAGGAGGAGGAGGAGGAGTCACGGCGCGGCAGGTTCTCGGAGAAGAGCGGTTCCGGCTGGTGCAGGGTGCCAAGCTGCTCGTCGTCGGGGCGGGGGGCATCGGCTGCGAGCTGCTGAAGAACCTGGTGCTGGCCGGCTTCAGGGACATCGAAGTGGTCGACTTGGACACCATCGACATCTCGAATCTCAATCGCCAGTTCCTCTTCCGCCGGGCCCACGTGGATCGGTCGAAGGCGGAGGTTGCGGCCGAGGCGGTGCGTCAGTTCCGGCCGAGCGCGCGCGTGGTATCCCACCACGGCAACGTCAAGGACCCGCAGTTCGGGGTGGAGTTCGTATCGAGGTTCGACGTCGTGGTCAACGCCCTTGACAATCTGGATGCGCGCCGGCACGTGAACCGCCTGTGCCTCGCGGCGGAGAAGCCCTTGCTTGAGGCCGGCAGCACAGGGCACCTGGGCCAGGTAACCGTCATCAAGAAGGGCGAGACGGAGTGCTTCGAGTGCCAGGCCAAGCCGACTCAGAAAGTGTACCCGTATTGCACGATCCGGTTCGAGTAACGACAAGAGAACCACATCAGCATAAACTATCGGACGTCCGCGCGGGTTTCTTGGATCGGCGCTGGACTCCCCTGGCGGCGCCTCCAGAGCCGCCCCTCGCACGCTCCGCGCGCCAAGGAGGGGGGTTCAGCACCGGTCCAAGAACTCCGCTCGGACCTCCGAAAGTATCTGTGTGTGCAGGTAGTTGTCTCGTCTTCCGAAGGTCTACCCCGGAGAAGCCCATCCACTGCCTGGTGTGGGCGAAGAACCTCTACGACCTTTGCTTCGGCCCGGAGGACGAGTCCAACCTGCTGACCGATCTGGCGGCAGAGATGAAGCAGTTCACCAGCCAGGAGAAGGTCGACGGCGAGGAAGTCGGGAAGAAGATCTACTCCCACCTCTTCGACGCGGACATCAGGAATCCAGGCCTCCCGAATGTTGCCCGAGCTAGCGGGGTCGGGGCACCGCGCCGCATCGCTGGTGCATCGGCGATGCATGCAGCGGTGCGGCTCGATCCTCCGACCCCATGTGCTCGGACCCCACCCGGGAGGCCTTCCAGGAAGCAGGCAGCCCTCGAAGACCTGTGGTCCGAGAAGCGGCCACCGCCCGACCCGCTGCCCTTCGACGAAGCCGTGCAGCGGAGCAGCAGCAGCGGCGCCCCCCCCAAGGGCGGCGCCGCCGTGCTGGACGTCCAGAAGGTGCCCAGCGTGGCGGGCGACGCCCAAGGGTTTGTTGCGGCGGTCAAGGCCATGTACTCCGACGCACGGCGAGGCCTCATCGGGCAGAGCGTCTTCAGCAAGGACGACAGCGTGTCCATGGACTTCGTGCACTGCGCGGCCAACCTCCGCATGTCTAACTACCGCATTGACCGGCTCTCCCGCTGGGACGCCCAGTCCATCGCAGGAGCGATCATGCCAGCGAGCGAGGGGGGCGCGGGGGGCAGGAGGGGGAGGAGGATGAGGAGGAGGAGGAGGAGGACGATCAACCAAAGGAGCCATCATCCCGGCTGTGGCGAGCACGAATGCCATCGTCGCTGGCCTCGAGGTGGTCCAGCTCATTCACGTGCTGGAGTCGACGGCGCATAAGAAGGAGCTCCGCGACGGGCGTTGCCGCACGGTCTGGGTCCGATACCCAGAGCCTTCGAGGAAGAAGATCCTACAGCCCAGCACGCTGCAGCCGCCGAACAAGGAGTGCTTCGTGTGCGGCTCCAGGACGGCCCGAGTAGCGCTCAAGGGCTTGAGCGATTGGAAGATGTGCGATTTCGTGAAGAAGTGCGTGCAGGGAAGCTTTGGCGCCGTGAGCCCCGCGCTGTACCACAACGGCGTCTGCATCTACAACCCGGAGTACCCCGAGGCCAACGAGGAGGCGGAGGAGGAGGGCATGCACCCCGAGTGGAGCTTCACGGAGTGGGGCCTGGCCAGCGGTGCCTTGCTGTCGGTCGAGGACGAGGCGCAGGGCTTCTCGTGTAACCTCCTCGTCCGCGACGAGCCCGAGCTGAGCGATGCGGAGTTCCCGGCCGGCTTCAACGTGGAGGCCGGCGCCGACAGCCTGGAGAAGGCGGCCACCGACTGGGCCAGACGAAAGGGAGGGATCGGGAAACGGGGGGTTCACAGAAGCTGCTGCGTCATGCAGCAGTGGGGGTGGTCCCAGGACCAGCTTGAAGTCGGGCATGTCCCTCTACAGGAGGAATGTTCAAGAATAGTCGAAAAATAGTCTGGGGACGAGTTTCTGATTCTTCTTAAGCATGTGTGATGATCTTTTGTGACTATTTTTTGATTCTCTTCCACGATCCGCCTGTAGGAGGACATGCCCGACCTAAGACCAGCTGCATCCAGCCTGCATGCAGCTGGTCTGAGGCTCCACTCAGCCTGCATGCAGCCCGCATGCATGCAGCCTGCATTCGGCGCCGCCGCGGGGCGCGTTCCTCGATACCACTGTGGCGCCTCCGTTGCCGGGAGGCGCCGGAAAAGTCAGCTGCGCGGGTTGGCTCGCGAGATCCCACAGGCGGGCCAACGGTCTCCTCCGCACGGTCGGGCCGACGTCTGAGATCACTGTCGGTTCGGGGATGGTGGCCTAATGTTCTTCGTGTTTGTTGGGCGTCCTTGCGCATCCTGTGGGAGGGTAGCCTCGAGTGCCCTTCGTTTGGGCCGGCGGAGGGTCTCGTGTTCACGAAGGGTGTTGTTCTTGCCTAGGTCTGGCTGTATCGGTGTGGCCGTTCTCGGTGATGGAGTTGGGATTGTTGTGTGGCCGAGCCAAATGCAGGAAAGTGTGGGTCGCGCTTTCCCTGCGATTCGCTGTGTCGCTCTCGCTCGATACATCCGCATCGTGAATTGTAGGCAAGCGCGGCTCGTGCGTTCCAGCATTTTTTTTCTGCGCGCGCCGAGGGTCGTAGACACCAGATTCCGCATCGCACTGTTCACCAACCGCACCGTTAGCCCCGACTTGGGACCCCCCTTTGCTACGGTAGAGGGAAACAATTACTGAACACTCCCCCTCCCCCCCAAAATCAATGTTGGCACGCGCGGGGGGACTGCGGTCGAAGTGCATCTCATCAGACCCACCGCCAACTTTGAACATTGGGGGAGGGGGAGGCGTTGATGGATGAATGTGGCATGTGTTCGCTAATTTGTTCCGAGGCCTGTATCCCCCCAATTCGCCCACCCCGCACCGAGGCCGGCGAAGACAAGCGCCAGGCGGAGGCGGCCGCGGAGGAGCCCCCCGCGAAGCGCGCGGCCACGGAGGGGCCCGTCGTGGCGCTGGACGACTGATGGGCGGCGCTTCGCGGGGCATGGGGGGCTCCACGGGGCTCCGAAGAAGAAGCACGTGCACGGTTCAGCGAGCGAAGAACGGTATAAAATGAACTTTCCGCCGTCGGAGACACCTGCCCCTGGTCGGCTGGAAAGTTTATACCCCTACGGTGCCATCGTAAGGGTATAAACTTTCCAGCCGCCCTGGGACAGGCGTCCCCGACGGCGAAAAAGTTTATCTTATACCGTTCTTCGCCCGGTAAACGGTAGTGCCTCGGGCTGCGCACAGACAGCCCCCCCGCAGGTCGCCCCCCCCCCCTGGGCCCCCACGGGCGCCCTGAGCAGGCCCAGCTGCCCTCGACGGGGGAGCGTCTGGGAGCTTCTGGGAGCGCTTGGGAGCGCCTCGGAGCCCTTGGGAACGCTTGGAAGCGCCTGGGAGCACCTGGGAGCGCCTAGGAGCGCTTGGGAGCGCTTCCCCCCGAGCAGTCCAGGGCGGTCCCCGGGCTGGGGTGCGGAGACCGCGGACCGCTCGGGGGGGGCTGCTGCGGCCAGCCGGGAGGACTACCCGGTCTGGGCCGTCCGTGCGCAGCCCGAAGCCCTACCACAATTGAGGAGCATGAGCTTCCGGAGGTCCGCGCGGATGTCCTGCATCGGCCTTGGCCCCCCTCCTTGGTGGAGCCTCCGGCACAGCCCCTGGCGCGGAGGAGGAGGAGGAGGAGGAGGAGGAGGAGAAGGAGGAGGAGGAGGACGAGAAGGACGAGGAGGAGGAGGAGGAGGAGGAGGAGGAGGAGGAGGAGAAGGAGGAGGAGGAGGACGAGAAGGACGGGAGGGAGAGGGAAGGAGGAGGAGGAGGAGTAGGCAGGAGGAGGATGGAGGATGAGGAGGAGGAGGGAGGAGGAGGAGGAGCGCCGCGCGCGCGGGCCTCCGAAGCCTGATGCTTCTGAGGATGTGTTCCTTCTTTCCTGCGGCTCACGAAACGCTGGGCAGCTTGGCGGCCGATCGCGGTTCCTCTGGGCGCGCTTGTCTTTGCGCTCCGCTCTCGGCACAGCGGGGAGGCTTGGTGGCTGTTCGCGGAGCTTCTGGGTGGGCCTCTCGTTTTTGCACTCGACCGGCCTCGGCGTGGCGGGAAGAAACTGCCAGATGCCGTTGCTGCTCACCCAACTTCGCCTCCTCTGCCTCCTTGCCAGCCTCACCCTCGCCTCTTCGTCGACCCCGTCCCACCCTCCTCCTCACGATCGCCCTCCTCGTTTTCCAAGGCCGCGCACGGCCCAGGACAAGCTTGAAGGCGGTGTGGCCTTCGCAGCCGCCAGGCGCGCGCCCCTGCCACCCGGCCAACACGGTGCTGCGAGCGCGACTCATGCCGCCACCGCCTTCTCCTCCTCAGATGGCGGGCGGAGCGACTGCGGCGGGAGGGCATCAGACCTCGTCGCTTGTGGGATGGACGCCGTTCGCGTCAGTGTTGAGGGAGGGTGGGGGTGCGTAAGTTGAGAATTCCGCAGGACTTCCTGAATTTTGTATGTCCAGGCGCCAGGCTACGGAAGCGAGTGGGCCACCCAAGCTGCTCTCGGAGGACGGACGCGCACCGTTGGATCCAGTGGCGCTGGACACGAGGCCCGAGCATCAACGCATCGGCGAGGGTCTCCATTGACATGTCGGCGAAGAGATTCCGAGCTCAGGACGTGGCGATGATCGCAAACCCTCCGCCCCACCCCCCAGGAAAGGGGTGGCTGCGTGGACGTGCACCAGCGCCCCCTCCGCATGCGACTCGCAGTGGCGAACTACCCACCCCGTGTACCCCAAGCTACTGAATACGCAGGATCTCGAGCAACATGTAAACAACTAACGAAAGAAGTATGCCGCGAGCTGACGACCGACGCGTGTATGATCACACCAGTGGTATTCACCGATCTGAGTCCGACATTTGAACACAAATGTAAGCAACCGAAGCGTTACGACACCATAGGCCCAAGAGGCGCCGCAGCCCCCGAGGACCCGATGGCGTCATGCGTGCGACGACGTATCCAGGTGACACTCTGCGCCTTTGTCAGCACGTTATGTGAGCTGGGCCCCTTGTTCTGCGGCCCCTACAAGGCCTGCGGCAAGCTTCCGTGGAGGCGAGTCGCGAGTCCAAAGGTCCGCCCTAGTCATCTACATCACAGGCATCAGCGCGCGCGAGAAGCGCAGGCAGTGTCAGCGGGCCCTGTCGCTGCTCTGGGGGATGTGGGCGATGAAGCTGCAGGGGGCTGCGGGGGAGGGGTCGGCTCGCGCCAGCGCGAGTGTCACCGCCCCCCTCTCCCACCCTTCTCCTCCTCCTCCTCCTCCTCCTCCTCCTCCTCCTCCTCCTCCTTCTCCTCCACCTCCTCCTCCTCACTCCTCACTCCTCACTCCTCACTCCTCACTCCTCACTCCTCCTCCTGCTCCTGCTCCTCCTCCTCCTCC